CTGGAGCCACTGCTGACATGAACAGAACTGGAGTCACCGCTGACATGAACAGATAGAACTGGAGCCACCACTGACATGAACAGATAGAACTGGAGCCACCACTGACATGAACAGAACTGGAACACCGCTGACATAGACAGAACTGGAGCCACCGCTGACATAGACAGAACTGGAACCACCGCTGACATAGAACTGGAACCACCGCTGACATAGACAGAACTGGAACCACCGCTGACATGGACAGAACTGGAGCCACCGCTGACATGGACAGAACTGGAGCCACCGCTGACATGGACAGAACTGGAGCCACCGCTGACATGGACAGAACTGGAGCCACCGCTGACATAAACAGATCTGGAACCACCGCTGACATAAACAGAACTGGAGCCACCGCTGACATGAACAGATAGATCTGGAACCACCACTGACAAACAGAACTGGAGCCACCACTGCAAGATTGATAAATCACATATAGTAATTTATAAACCACAAACCTAGAAGTCTTTACAATAGCCTTCAAATGTATATAAATAGTTCACTACCAAAAAACAAAAAATCTAGAATTTAATGAGATATTAATAAAAATACTCACCCCACCCCCCCAAAAAAAAAACCTACCTAGAAATTAAACACAAACTCACCCAAACAAACTCCACTTGGGTGACAGAAAATAAAAGCTGAAATAATAAACTATTTAAAAATAAACTATATAGGCATTCTCCGTTAAAACCTTTGCAGTGTAACGAATCTGGTACTGAGAACAGTGTTATATCGGAGATGACATGTTCAACTAAGAAGGTAGGGAAATGTCACAGAAACCTGGGGAAAGTGGAAGGAAGGGATTGATAAACGTGCAAACATAAGTTGATGACATAGGAAACAAAACATTATAACTGCACCTTTGAAATACTAGTAAAACTGAAAAACTGGCACGTGTGACCAAAGAAGGAAGGAATAAAAAGAAACTAACAGCACTGGAATTGAGAAAAGCTATAAAACTGTAGCGTTTGGCTACTAACCAAAAGGTCCAGCAGTTGGAATCTACTAGCTGCTCCTTGGAAACCCTCTGGGGCAGTTCTACTCTGTCCTGTAGGGTCGCTGTGAGTCGGAATCAGTTGCACAGCAGCAGGTTTTTGGTTTAATAGTTATAGAAATTTCTTACGCATAATTGTACATTCAAATTGAAAATGTAGATGAAGTGGTCCATTTTCTAGGAAAATATACTCAAATTGAGTTGTTGCAAACCCAAACACAAAAATAATGCAGGAAAAATAAAAAAAATTAAAGATCTAAGAAGGTGGTTTACTGGTGTACGTTAATGACAAACTAATGTCTTTATTATTATTTGTTTCAGAAGGTAGAAAAGTAGGGAATACTTATTATCTCAGTGTCTTAGGCCAGCACAACCCTTTGGCCAACCAAAACGAAATAAAAATGACATGTATACATGTCCTTAGCCGCACACACAAATACAGAACTTGGTCACTTAGGAATATAGCTGCAAAAGTCCAAAATAAAATTTTAAGAAATGAAATCCACTAATAATTGAAAATACAGACAAATCATGATTTCAGGATTTATTTCATGAATGCTACAATGACTGATTAAGAGAAAAAATGTTATGATGATCTAGGTTCCGCACCCATTCCTCATAGTAATTTTTGGTGAGTAATAATAGAAACATTTTGAACCTGGGAAAGGTGGAACATTAAAAGCATAGTCATTACCGTCAGAGACAAGGCAAGGGTGCCTTTGTTACCTCCGCTCTTCATGTATGGAGCCCTGGTAGCACAGTGTTTAAGCGCTCCACTGTTAAATGAAGGGTTGGTGGTTGGAACCCACCAGCGGCTTCGCTGGAGAAGAGACCTGGTGATCTGCTCCCGTAAAGATTACAGCCTAGGAAACCCAATGGGGCAGTTCTACTCTGTCCTATAGGGTTGCTGTAAGTCGGAATTGACGGTATCTAACAACAAAAACATTCTTCATGTACTGGAGTCCCTAACCAATGCAGTATTTAAATAAAAAAGGGTAGGAACTATAAATAATAAGGAAGAGTCAAAATTGTCATTTAAGACAATATGACTATCTAGAAAATTCAAAAGACTCAGCTGAAAACTTAGAATTAGTTTGGTGAAGTGCTGGTGTAGCTGATGTACATACAGAACGTACCAGTATCAGCCTGCTAGGAAAGGGACAGAGTACACACAATCCTTTCTCAGATGACAGCTGTCAGGTGTCCAGAAAAGACCTGACCAGTAGTGCAGTGGCTGGATGAGGAAAACTACCAACACTTGGGAAGAGCATGAAGGTGACCCGAGCACATAAATAGATAGCATGTTCCTCGACGGGGAGATGCAGAGTATAAAAATGTGGACTTTCCCCACCTGTATTTTTTACAGTCTCACTCAGAAGCCCATTGAGATTGTATATGGAAAGGACAAGTAAACGCGAAAGGTTTACTAGAAAGAATACATTTTCAGAATAAAAAGAAAATTTCTGAAAAGGAAAATTGTGACCGACGATCGTACACTGACCAATAATAAAACAGAGTCATCAAAAAGTGACTACAAGACTGTGGTGTTGATGGGGGGACTGATGGATCAGTGGAATAGAAAAGAAATCCAGGAACATGAACAGGTGCCTCAGATTTTGAAAAGGGTGCATTTTAAAAGGCTGGGGAAAGGCGTGTGGTCTAGTTCAGTGAGGTTTTCAGTCTCAGTAAGTAATTGATGAAGCCATGCTGAAGATTTTGTTCTGTGTTGCTGGGAGTAGATACCTTTTTTTTTTTTAGATCATATGAGAAGTAACATATGCTCAATTAGAATAGGTGTAGCTCTGGTATAGCTTCCGTAAGAATAGAAAGATAACTTCTTTTCTTTTTTTTTAAGGTTCCTTGTTTGCTGCTGCTTTAGGTATACGTAATAAGTAGGGATGCTGGTCAGGTCATTTAAGCAAAGGGGATTACAGTAATGGGAAGTAGGCTCTCGGGTAGGTTACACCATAATATAGTTAAGCTCCTCAGTCACAGGATTTTGGAACGCAGAAATGGAGCATGTACCTCACACACAGCGGTAGTCAGAGGGCTTGATTTGACTCAGGAGAGGCTGGGAAAGTCCAGCTTTTCAGACTTACCCGTAACTGTGTCTTCCACGTTCGTCACGGTCCCCACTGTGAGGATGTCATTTTGTGGAGTGATGGAGTTTGCTAGCTTAAATAGTTTGTGATTCCCTGACATTAATGAAAAGGTCTTTTCAGCCTCTCTTTGAATGGTTTAAAGATTTTACTAATTTCAATAAAAGCTGATTCAGGTTAATGGAAGAACTTGAGTTCAAGAAAACTATAGCAGAACTTTGAAGTGGCCTGAAATTAACTAATATTTAAAACTGAAGCTTACTTTTAGCTGAATTTTAGTAGGTGTAGGTTGTCTTTATGTACATTTGACCATAAGTTATTCATGTATATTTTTTAATATTGTGGCAAATACATACCTAACAAAATATTTGCCATTTCAACACATATTTATTTGATGAGTATTTTTTGCTACGGAGGGTTTTCTTGCAATTTGTTTACTTAACAATGTTGAACAAGTTTACAACTCTTAATATTCTTAACGTTGCTTATATTCAGTAGGGCTGTCTTAGTCACGGTGCCTCTTGACCTTTCATCTGGAATCAAGGTCCTAACGATTTAGGAGTACAGATCCCTTTGAAAGTTTGATGGAAGTTCTGCAGCTTTCACTGTCCTCCTAAAAGCCTGTGTTTATGTGTATGCCTGCTCCCCTGTGTCTAGCTATCTGTCCTCATCTGTATGTCTGCATGTACATTTTGTCTCCAGCCCCATTTCCCTTCAAGACTGTGAATGGCTTTTCTAAAGATCCATGAACTCCCAGGTGAAGAAAGCTTGGTCAGCTGATGACCTGTCTAATAACCTTGTACCGGTCAGCTGTTCCTCGTAGAATACATAGGGCTGGAATCCCTCGTGTCCTGTTGGTTATTAGCTGTGTTCCCTTCCCCGTCTCACCTCCTTCTCGAGAGAAAATGGGTTGGCCAGAGGTTTCTTGGTCCCACACACACGTACAGGTGAAAAAAGCCTTTATAACAAGTAGGTTGGGTGTTTGGAGCCCTCGCAACCTATATTCAGCCTTTATTTTTGTAGCTAAAGCATTTCAGACTTCACCACTCAGTAACTAACTAGGTGTGTACGATGATTGAATTTTGGGAAGATGATAGAAGTTGACCTATTTTTCTAAGTCCCTGATAAATCCCGGTTCCACATGGGTATGTTTTGGCCTTAGCCAGATGTCAGGATTTTCATGCTTTGCTCTTTTTCCCAGGAAAAGTCAAACTGCTGCTGAAGGAACTCTGGCTCTGCATCAACACCACGCACAGGCTCCCCCCAGGTGAAGGCAACAAGCATGGCCAAGGTGAGCGTGAGACACGGACACTGCACTTCATGTGCAAAGGAGGAGGGCTGCCGCCGGCACCGTGTGCCTTTGGTTTGTAAGAGCTCCTGAATCTCATTAAAAGAATGAAACAGACTAGCCTGGGTACTTGTATCACACAAAACACCAGTCTCTGCAGTGTGACTTCTGACGTCAGTAAATGCATTTGGCCTTTAATGTTTTATAGCAGCTTCCATCCGAGAACATTGAAAGCCATCGGAAGGACAGTGGACCCACGTGTGGCAGGTACATGCAGATGGCTGAAGGACGCACAGTTTCCAATACATAATTTCATAAGTTTGATTGAGCCACCAGCAGCTAGCTTCATTTGTTTTCCATGGAATGTACTAGTTCCTTTTGGTTGAACTTCTAGCATACAATCAAAATGTTTGATAGGATTTAATGTGGAGTTGTAAAAGTCATAAAATTTTATCGCTCTTGACCCTTGTTTGCCATTTACTGTGTAGCCAAATGGTAATACGTTGTTTTTTTCCAAAGTGCTTTATAATTATCGTTGTTGTCAGGTGCTGTTGAGTCGATTCGGACTCATAGCGACCCTGTGTACAACAGAATGAAACACTGCCCAGTCCTGCGCCATCACAATTGTTGCTGTGCTTGAGCCCATTGTTGCAGCCGCTGTGTCAGTCCAGCTCATTGAGGGTCTTCCTCGTTTTTGCTGACCCTCTACTTCACCAAGCATGGTGTCCTTCTCCAGGGGCCGATCCCTCCTGATAACATGTCCATAGTATGTGAGATGAAGTCTCGCCAGTCTTGCTTCTTAGGAGCATTCTGGCTGTACTTTTTCCAAGACGGATTTATTTGTTCTTTTGGCAGTCCATGGTGTATTTAATATTCTTTGCCAACACCATAATTCAGAGGCGTCAATTCTTCAAGAGTCTTCCTCATTCATTGTCCAGCTTTTGCATGCATATGAGGTGATTGAAAATACCATGGCTTGAGTCAGGTGCACCTTAGTCTTCAAGGTGATCTCTGCTTTTGAACACTTTAAAGAGGTCTTTTGCAGCAGATTTACCCAATGCAATGTGTCGTTTGATTTCTTGACCACTGTTCCCATGGTTGTTGATTGTGGATCTAAGTAAAATGAAATCCTTGACAACTTCAGTCTTCTCTTAGTTCATCATGGTGTTGCTTATTAGTCCATTTGTGAGGATTTTTGTTTTGTTTTCTTGGTAATTATCATTAGGGGTTAAAATGTTACTTTGGAAATCTGTACTATGCATATATATTTTTGTGCCATTTTAAATTCTCCAAGAAATGATAGAGTATGCTAAGTTATTCACTAACTTGTTTTTCGACTTTTATGTCCTAAATCGGTGCTATTCCATAGAACTTTCTGGAATGGGGGAAATCTTCTGTAACAGCGGCACCGTCCATATGGAAACCATGAGATGTGTGAGACTATGGAGCACTTCAAATGTGACTGGGGCAATTGAAGAACTGGATTTTTAATTTGATTTAATTTTAATTAATGCAAGTTTAAATAGCTACATGTGGCCACTGGCTACCATGTTGGACTGTGTAATTCTAAACAGTGATTATTTTAACACCTACATGCTGTGAAACTCAGTATTTCAGGATCCTGAATCTCATTTTAATTCATATAAGGTAAAACAAACAAGCAAAAACCAGTTGCTATTGAGTTGATTCTGACTCATGGCAACCCCATATGTGCAGAGTAGAAATGTGCTCCATAGAGTTTTCAAGGCTGTGAGCTGTTGGAAGCAATGACAGGCCTGTCAAGGTGCTCCTGGGTGGATTTGAACTGCCAATCTTTTGGTTAGTAGCTGAACACTTACCCATTTGAACCACCCAGGGAGCATCTTACAAAGTAATGGGATTGGGAGTGTCAGGAGAAGGGAGGGAGACGCTTGGAGGCAGCCACTTCAAACAGGAAGAGTGTGTTTTATAGTCTGAGGACAGGTGCGCTAGCCAGGGCATATGGGGAAGGGGAGTGGGACTGAGGGAGTGAGGTTGCCCCTTTGAAGGGCACAGGCTGGGGCTGCTGGAGCACGGAGCGCCAGAATCATTTGACAGCAGAAGTGCTGGCACTGGTGGTATCGTTGGTTTTCACGTTTATCCACCCACATGCATGGCCCAGTCCAAGGAGGAAGGAGAGCACCCAGCGTGTGGTCTGGAGCACGGAGCGCCAGAATCGTTAGACAGCAGAAGTGCTGGCACTGGTGGTATCGTTGGTTTTCACGTTTATCCACCCACATGCATGGCCCAGTCCAAGAAGGAAGGAGAGCACCCAGCGTGTGGTCTGGAGCATGGAGCACCAGAATCATTTGACAGCAGAAGTGCTGGCGCTGGTGGTATCGTTGGTTTTCAGGTTTATCCACCCACATGCAAGGCCCAGTCCAAGGAGGAAGGAGAGCACCCAGCGTGCGGTCCAGGTTGGGGTGGGGAGCATGCTAGATCTCAGCTGTACCCCAGTGCACACCAGGGCTTCCGGCACCCACGAGGAGCTCACACAGTTAGCTCTGCCTCCAACAGATGAAGCAGTGCCAGCCCCATTTCTGCTTGCTACTGGCGTGGCTGTGTGACCCTTGGCAAGTCAGCTGCTTCTCAGAGGAGCTCTGGACCCTTCTGTGAAGCATATTCTCACAGCTTTCGAATATAGCAAATGGTTTTTTGTAATTATTTTCCAGGAGTCATAGTATTTCTTTGCCAGTAATCAGCACCACTGAAGTTCATCAAAATAACTTTTCTGGTGCATTAAAATGCAAGGCACTTACGTGGCTCAAGTAAGCTCGATACTGGCTGGATTTAGATAGCTTTTCACATGGAGAAAACAGTGCCTCCATGACCCTGTCTGCACAGAGTTGTTTCCCATCCACATAGGGAGAACGGATACGTTCTCCGGGCCCTTCACCACCGCTAGGGATGCCTGTCCAATGGGGGTGCACTGCTAATGGATTGGTGGGCTCATCTGTCTGCTTTCGTTCATCTTTTTAATTGTAAGGATAGCATACTTACATGAAATCTGTTCAGTTCTTATAGGATAACACCTAGAAAGGGATTGAGTGCCTTTTTTGTGGGAGGGGTAGTTAGTGACTTTTTTCCCAACAATTTCTACATGTATAATAACATCGATTCTGTTCTTCAAGTTGTGAAACTATTCTTGCTGTCATTTTCCATATTATTCTACCAACATTAGTGTAAACTCAATGCCCCTAACCATTTCACCCTCCTTACCACTCCTGGTAGCCATGAATAAGTTTTGTTTTCTGTATATTTGCATATCTCACATAAGTGAGATCATACAGTATTTGTCCTTTTTCAACTGACTGATTTTGCTCAGCATAATGTTTTCAAGGCTCATCCATGCCGTGACGTGTATCAGGACTTCACTGTATGTATGTACCACATTTCAGTTTTTTCCACCTTTTGTCTGTTGTGAAAAACACTGCAAAGAACATCGGTGAACAGGTTCCTGTTGGTGTCCCTGCCTTCGGTGCTTTGGGATACATATCTAGGACTGGGATTACTGGGTCATATGGTAGCTGTATGTTCAACTTTTGGAGGAACCCCCCCCCAAACTATTTTCCACAATGGCTACACCATTTTACACTTCCACCAGCAAAGGACAAGGGTTCCAATTTTCTACAACTTCTCCAACACCTATATTTTCCTTTTTTAAATTTATTTTATTTTTATCGTTGTCATTCTAAGCTGGGTGAGGTGGTATCTCATTATGGTTTTGATTTGCATCTCCCTAATGGCTAATGGGAAACCCTGGTGGCTTGGTGGTTAAGAGCTCAGCTGCTAACCAAAAGGTGGGCAGTTCGAATCTACCAGGTGCTCTTTGGAAACTCTAATAGGGCAGTTCTACTCTGTCCTGTAGGGTTGCTATGAGTCAGAATCGACTCAATGGCAACGGGTCATGGCCAGTGGGAGCCCCGGTGGCACAGTGGATAAGTGTTCGGCTGCTAAAGAAAAGGTCGGTAGTTCAAATCCACTCTGCTTACTTGGACTTAAACAATATTGCTAACACTTCAAACTGTTAGAATGTTTTCCCGTCTTGATATTTAAATATTTGATACTTTTTTTTTTTTTTCTTTTTCTCCTGCAGAAAAATCTGCCAAAGAAAACAGGTGCAGAGAGTCCATGGAAGATGGCGTGCTCCCTCCTGTACGGCACAGTCCCCCAAGAGCTTCAGATATGCAGGCGTGCTTAGCAAAATTGTCCGTGGAGATTGATGGTGATTTTTCTGCACATAAGAATGTGGACCAAGAGATGCGCGGTGGAGCCAGTGACAGTAACGAGGACAGAAATCCTGAGACTGTAATGCCAAGTCAGAACGATGAGGAGAGCATTGACTTTTCTGATCACGACCCTTTTTTTGATGAGGATCTTCAAGCTGCAATTGACTTCTTCAGACTTCCCCCTCCTCTTCTGTCTCCTGTGCCCTCACCCCCTCTGATGGCGTTACCACACCTGGGGCCCGTACCTTCCTCGCATGAAGCTGTGAGTTCTACTGTTTGAACTTGAATTGCCAGATGGGTACATCGTCTGCCCTAGTATGTGAAATACTCAGGGTAGTGGTACTCATGCAAAAACTGTTCACGTGGGCCAGTTTTATTAGGGGTAACATGAGAGTATACAAAGATGTGCCGGTACTTTTGGCCCAAAACATATGTATTGTTTTTTCATTCTGTATTGTGGCTGCATTTTTTTTTTTTGTCTTTTGTCTTTACCACAACCCAGCTGTGAGTTTCTGTTGTTATTAGTTGCCGTCAACGGTAGCTTTGTTTTAATTATTCTTATCTCTAGTGTTTGGCATAGAATAGATGTGGAATCAGTGAATTAAAAGTATGTATTTGTAGGCCTAGAGTTTTACAGAGACAGGAAATCATGTATACAGCATATATACCCATTAACCTACAGTAGCCGAATTCTATACCTTTACTTGATAAGTTCACCATTTTTTGTGTGTTTGCAAAATAATTTACAGGAATTTCTTAACAAGTTAGTCCGTAGGAGTCAGTGTGTATACTTTTTGGCTTACGGAGCAGGTTAATGCCTTGCTCCTTCGATTGATTCTGGAAAGATCATGTGTATCTGCGTTTGGCAGACCCTGTGCTTGGCATGAGGTGCCCAGAGGCGGCGTGTCATACGATGGCAGCTTGGGTGGCCGTGTGGTGTGGGGATGGACTAGTACGTGGACAGGTGGTGACAGAGCTGTGATGCAGGATGGGTAAGCACCTTGGCCTGGAGCACTTAGGAGCGAAGCTGGGTCCTGAGCAGAGGCCAGGACTGAGCAGAGAGGGAGATGGCAGCGCTCCAGGAGATAGAATCTCCACGGTGAGTTGAAGAGTGAGTGAGGATGTTTCTGGTGAAGGAGCTGTTTGTGCAAATTCTGCACAGTTAGAATTTCGAGAGAAGGTGATGCTGAGGGCTTTCGTGCAGACCAGATTAGGAAGGGTCATGTGCCCCAGCAGTTCTCATTTCACATCAGCATCAATGGGAACTTTTTGATGAATCTAGAGAAGTGGACTTAATGGTCACATTGTCATTCGAAAGTGTCAGTTGAATCAAGTAAGCTTGAGTGTGGGAGTCACTAGTCAGGGAAGAGGCTAGACCGTCCATAGGGAAATTCCTTAATAAGCGATTTCCTTAATTCTTCAGGCCTGAACCCAGTAAATGGTTGGGGTTAAAGATGTGGGAACTGGTTTGAACAGAGTTATGAGGTCGGATGAGCAGCCCATGATGACACGTTCCATGTGGTTATTAGGGGAGAGAGCAGAGTTAGATACGCTTACAAATAAAAATAAACACAGGAAGAGGCCCTGCTTGGGTGGGAAGCTCATGTGGAAAATGTCAAATATTAGGTGTGTGGTATCTCCAGGTGGAAATAGGCAGTATGCATTTTAGGTACACAGATGGGGTGCTGGGAGGGACTTTAGTGGGATGGAGACACATTGGGCCCACTGGCTTTTGGGTGCTGTGGAAGCCGCGGGGCTGTTTGGTGGCATTAAGGAAGAGTGTGCGGAATGAGGAGAGGGTAGGGCCAAGACACAGTCCTGGGAAATTATCTGTGCAAGTGACAAGTTGGGGAAAGGAGATCAAAAACTCGCGGCACAAGAGTCGAGGCAGACCGTGCAATGTGGCACTCTAGAATTCAAGGGAGGAAGGGTTTCTTCCAGAGGAGAAAGTTTTTACCAGCAGTTCTTAGTCATCACCTCTGCACTGTTTCTCTTAGGGGCCTGGAGGCTAGGCGGTTGATGACTGTAGCTCCTGGGGTGGGTCATATGATTGAGGCAGCTGACACAAGACAGGAGGGGACTGGTTGGGGGGGGGGGTGGAAAGTGGAGCAGAAGTGGATCCTACTGGCTGCAGAATAGGAGCTGTGAAGGAGGGAGGGAGGGTGCCCAGTGCATAACCCTGACAGCTTGGCTAGGTCCGTTGATGATACCATCTGAGATAGGGCACTGGGAAAATGCTGAGGAGCAGGCTTGCAAGTCCGAGTTGAGACGATGGAGGGAACGTGTGGCAAGGAGTGACTGCACAGCGTCACCCAGAGTGGTGGCACAGCATGGTGTGCTGCACGAGTAGGTGCCGTTCTCTGGTGCACGTGAGGGAGGCACTTGGGTGTAGAGGCCATTGGAGAGTCATGTAGCCACAGGGCTTACCAGAAGGGTGGAGAAGTAAGAGTTGACAAGTAGGAATGTTTTAGTGTCAGGAGAAGGAAGATAGCACTGGGCCCTTTGCCTGGCAGAGCTTGAAGAAGGTCTGGTGGGAGAAGCGGTGTGTGTCCTCTGGTGGGAGGAGCGGCGTGTGTCCTCTGGTGGGAGGAGCGGCGTGTGTCCTCTGGTGGGAGGAGCGGCGTGTCCTCTGGTGGGAGGAGCTGCGTGTCCTCTGGTGGGAGGAGATGTATGTGTCCTCTGGTGGGAGGAGCGGCGTATGTCCTCTGGTGGGAGGAGATGTGTGTGTCCTCTAGTGGGAGGAGCAGTGTGTCCTCTGGTGGGAGGAGATGTGTGTGTCCTCTGGTGGGAGGAGCTGTGTGTCCTCTGGTGGGAGGAGATGTGTGTGTCCTCTGGTGGGAG